AGCAGATTGCAGATGTCCCTCTGGTCTTTCCCCAGAGTTAACACCAACAAAACACCCCAACCTGTACAGTCATCTCAGATACTCAGTGATGCCACTGCTATAATGCAAAAGCCAAATTACCTGCTGGGGGAAATCCCATATTGACAAACCTATGTGGAGGTATTTTACTGGCTTTATTCTGAAGTTTTATATGAAAATCCAGGTAGGATTATGTTGATCCTTCACTTGTTTGTTTAAACCATAGAAGTATTTCCTAAGAGCTACAAACACAGTGAGCTGCAAACAAGTTTATTAGCTCTACCCGATAAGATGTGCTACTACCCAGACCCTATAGAATAGAGTCACTTAAAATACAGCTATATAAAAGCCTTGTATTTTTAATTTCTATTTTTGAGAGTCTATAATATCTTGACACATATCTTAACATATTTAGATACAAAAGTATATGATCCATCTGAAAAAAATGATCATTGTAGCTAATAAAGATCAGGATCCCTGGTCTAAATGCCATCCCTGAAATGGAGAGAGGGAGTGCTGAGCACAGGAACATAGGAATGGGGAATTTCAAAACTGAGAGAGGCTTTGAAATAAAAACCCAAAGAACAACATAAGTTTTCCATCAGGTCACACAGATTACGTACAATTTACCCTGCAATCTTCTAAATGAATGAAACACCAACATAAAAAGCATTGGTAATTTAAATTTTAAGGAGAAAAGCTAGTAGCTGTGTTTGAAATTTGGAGACTTGAACAAAAATTGTTAGATCTGTGCTAAAGCAATCAAGTGCAGGAAGTGACCAAATTCTTGGCCAAAAGCATTGCCTCTCCCTGCCCAATATTCTCCTTGAGAAAACCAACCAGCATCCTAAACTCTGTACTTTTAAGCATCCATGGAAGAGCATAATGGAATAACTGGCAACCTGCCTGACTTTTGGTATTTCAAATACAATTTCTTTAAGTAAATCGCTTTCATTTAAGCAGCCACGTGTAGCAGGGGAGAGTTCAATGTTGTACTGAAAAAACTCAAGCAGACTTCAACAATTCTGCTGGCTTTCTGAAAAGGCTCCCTCAATCTGCAAAATAAAAGGCCAAGCTTCCAGCTAAAGAAGAGATTTTAAACAATTACCAAAGCAGGATAGTGATATCATAAAGGCAATTTCTGTGCTAGCTTGTTTTCTGAAACTCTCTTTGCCTCTGAACAGCTAGAACAGATAATAACTATTAGTAAATCAAACTCCTGCAATATCCAGCTGTGTCTCACACATTTACATACAGATAGAATGGGTATATGTTTTTAATATGTATGCGATACGTACTTTTACCACAGCTGAAGTGCATGCTACAAAGGAGGAGGAGAATGGGAATGGAATCAGCATGAGATAATAAAGTGGCCTAGATAAAGTATTAGCCAGCGATTGATCTCAAACAGGGGATGTTGCTTCTCTCTGACCTGATTACTTACTATGCATAGATTCCATTAAATAGAGCTTAGAATGGAAAGCTGCTGAAAAATACCGTAAATACAGTCAGATCTACAGCTTCCTGAGCCAAACCAGCCCGTGGATGCCTACCCGTACACTCGACACGAGCAGTTTAAACCTCACCATACCTCCACATCCCAATTGCTAAATATACATGTATGTCTGCATTTCCCTGGGAGCCAGGCTTGTGATGCCAGGAAACATCGTGGTTTAGATGAAGACTGGAAGTTCATGGGAAGAAAAAATGAAATATACAGAAGAATTGCTGAGATTTTCCTCGCTGGAAGGAGAGAGAAGAGAGACAGAGGAATATGCTAACAGTGTGCAGTCTTCCCTGGTGCTCAAACAGGAGTATGTTCAATTTAATTGACTGTATGCCTTCCTCTTCTTAAGAGGGAACAAACTGGAGACAAAAGAGCAGACACTGTAAGCACAAGGGTCAGAATAACCACCAGAGAATTATAAAGATCATTCCTTTCCCTGGATGGACAATTTTCCCCACTGCTTGGTGAAATTATTTTGGTTCTGCTTCTGTGGAACAAGCCCATTCATCAGAAATATTTAGAAACAATTAAAGAATCGATCTATATTGTATAAAATTATTTATACACAGAGAAACTGATGTTCTACCTTGTTTTGTGGATGGGTATACAGAAGACATGGCATAGCGACCGAGTGTGAATGCAGGAACCTGTTTTATGCCGGCTGTTCAGGGAATTTGGTGTTCACTTGCACAAGAGTATCTATGGTAATAGAAACCTGACTTCATGCAGGAATTTCACAGAGCCTTGGCTTTGGCCCTATTTTCTGACAAAACCTGCTACAACTTCTATGAAAAAAATAAGGGCTCTCTAACATGATAGGATAAATCTAACCCTGCTGCAACCCCAGTTGCCAATCTGGCACTCCAGGTATTGTGAGTCGGCTCTTAAAACACATTTAACAATTCACCGAGTATCAGGAGAGCAGAAAAGGATTGATGTTCTGTTCCCTTCATTTTGCTTTCAGTCTTTAATTATGCTAAATTGGTTACAAAATAGTGACTTCCAGTATGGGTAATGTCCACAGGGGGGGAAAGCCTGTGCTCCACTGTTTTGTCAGAAGCTAACAATGATTATGGGTTACACCTTCCATCCTTGCTAGTACATTTCTTCTACATGAAAAAATTCCCCCAAACCCAATGAACAAGGTGAAATCCTGCTCTCATTAAATCAACACTAGCCTGACCTTGATGAGGATTTCACTGACAGTAGCTGCATCACTCTGCCTGCTCCTATGGGTTAGCAGGGAAATGCCCATCAAATGACAGCAGAGATTTCAGAAATGGATGATGTGGACTTAAAATGATTGTAATTGTGGTGAGCAATTCTACAATTCAGAGGGTGTTCAGGAGCTTTTGTTCTGGCCCTGTTTTCTGACAAAGTATGGTAAATTATATATACATATGTATGTACAGATATGCTGCCTGTACAACCGACATATTATGCTAATGTATATATGCATATGAGTTTTATAAATGAAGTGCTCCTTCACAAGACTGGGCAAGTGGAAGAAGGCAAAGCGCTTGACTGAAGAGCAACTACTGAGCTAACAGTGAGTGTAACAGCAAAGCACAGGGTGCTCTGAGCCCATCAGGAGGGAATGTAGGGCAGCGTATGAGGGTCAGCCACACTGCAGGCAAAGACTGGGTCACTTCTTCGTTTCAGCAGCGCTTTAACCTCATGCTTTAATACTTGTAGTTACAAGTCCATTTATAATTGAGGAGAAAGTAGCACGAGGGGTAAAATGCACTAAACAAAAGATTTTGTTTAAAACGTAGGAAGGGATTTTTTTGCCCCCCCCCCCAAGCTGCTACAAATTCAGAATTATTTCACAAAATACCTCCTTTAAAGGGGACTAGCACACTCCAGGGCATGTAGTTGTAAAGATAAATCTGTGCACTTCCCTGGTACTGCAGGCACTCACCCTTTGGCCTCATGTTTATGACTCTACACCCTGGAGTGGTGTTATTGCTTACAAACGTACATATATACTTACGGGGGTATGTGCGATCTGCGGATGTTTTATTTATAAGTGGCAGGCCTATTGCATCACTGAAAGAGGCATTTACAAACAGATATAGGTTTTATGAAACCCTATTCCGTTGTTTTAATAGCTAAGCTATCCAGCCATAGCATAATAGTGCACAAGGTAAATGTGTCTACATCTCTAGAACCTGTTCCAAGTTTTCTCAGATGTGACTAACTGCAAGAATTTCCCAACCATCAAAAGTTAATAAAAAAGACAAAATAAGGCAGTGCAAGCTTTTTGTACGACACACACACCACCACCAAGTGGAGGGGCTCTGATAAACTTTAAGGCCTCATTTTACCAAGGTATTTAAGCAGGTGTCTAACTTCAGATGTAGATCTACTGAAGTTAATATCCTTAAAATGAGATTCACAGTTAAATACTCCGCTAACCAGCATCTAAATTGAGACTAGTCTGGGTTGTGAGATACCTGCCCCAGGGCATCTTCAGAGATTAGCCTTTAACTAGAGAATAGCTGCAATAGAAACACTCTACTTGCAGTTCACAGCATGTAAGCAAGAAATGAGACACCAACGTGTCCTTCTCTTGTTAAAATCTGTTAAATTATTCCTAGATATTTAATGCACAGAAATTCTGACGATTTTACACAGGCCTCCAAGTTACAGGAAACACAGCATATAAGTAATTAAGTATTTAAAAATCAAAGATATCTGATGTGAGTCAGAGGGGACCACAGCTCTTATCTACAATAGAAGTTCCTGTAAATATTTGGTTTGATACAGTATTTTTCTAGCTGCTTAAAACCAGTCAAAACAGCACTCTGCACTGAATGCACAGCCACAAGGGACCAGCCTGAGAGCATGTACTCTATTATTGCTTTACTGAAAGAAAAAAAGAAGGACAGTTGCAAGGCAAAGAAGTGGTCTCTAAGCTCAGATTCCACCACTGAGAGCCCTTCTACCGACAGACCAAAGCCATGTATTAACCCAATCTTCTGCAGCCAATCTGATTTCATTTTACATAAATATAAGTGAAAACAGTGGCTCCTGCATTTCATTAAAAAAAAGACTACTTTGACCATATCCTTTGTTTTCAATCTTCTGATTTTGAAAGGTTAAGACTGGCAAATGATGACAAAGAGTGACCTACATTAGGCTGTAATCCCTGGACATACAAACTGAAAAACCCTGTGTATTAAGCATCGAAATGGTTTTGACTGAACCTTGACACTGGCTGTGGAAAGTTCTGTATTAACTCCCCACATCACAAGTGAAGCTTTGGCCATAACAAAGGTAACAGCAAGATACCCATCAGTGGAATCATCATCATTCTGCCTCTGGTCTGTGTGCTCCCTGTAAATATGTAATTGCTGCACAAGCGAAGAACAGTTTAGATCTGAATGTGTAAAAGAAGAAAAATGCAGAGAAGAACAGATACACTTCTACATACATGAATAAAGATACTGAGGGGCTCCGAAGTTTCACTTACCATTAAATCTTCGGGTGCTGGCCTTTCCTTTGGTTGCTTTTTCATGCTATGTGTATAAAACAAAACGTTCATATGTAAACCACCGCTCATTTATTCTACTTGCTTAAATATTGAAGATTGCTTTTAACACAGTGAAGAATTTCCATGTATTTCTTAACTTAATCATGTGCCAACAGAACACAGGAGTCCTAACAGCGGCCAAAACGTTAACGGATTTATTCCTTCCCGCCCATCCCTCCCTTTAGGGATGTAGTGATCTACACTGTTTGTAACCATGAAAGTGTGTAAATACAGAGATCATTGAAAAGCAGTCAGCTCAGAAGGCACAGTAAGCTGATTCTCATTTTGCTAGGGATTATTACATAGCTCAACACCAAGTATTACACAAACAGGTGGGAAATTTAACTCTAACACTAAACAGCTTCAGGAGCATGCACAATACCCTGGGGTTCCTACCTTCATTTTTTCACATTTATTTCCATTACACTGCAGGGTGATAGTTCATTACACAGCATTAACCTGTTTATAAGATCATGTTTCTCATCCAAATAGTCCTAGTTTTCTGTGCAACAGGTGCAATTAGCTATTGAAGGCTGTGCTTAGCTGCATGAAGGAACACAATAACATGGCACAGAGGTGACCATCAGGAGCTGCCTACTGACTAATTGGATTACATCCAAACAGCCAGTCTTTATGGCATAACCAGCATAAAGTCTGATACATCGTTCACTTGACATCTCCAATATGCATTAGGAATTGATTGCTTAAATATAGTTTCCTCTTATTCACCTAATTTTTAAGCAGCAATGACTCCCATTAAAAAATACAGCCAATATAACACCATATCTAAAATCTGTGCTGTACACTGGAGGATTAACAACACAATTTACCTCCCCTTCAAACAACTCCAAGCCCCTCAAATAATGCAGCATTAGCAAGTAAGCGAGCTGTCTGACGAGTAGGTTGGGAGCAGTTCTAATCTGACAGTCCAAAGTAGCTGCATCCCCAGGGAGAACAAGGCTATTAGCCACCATCAGTTATGCTTCAGTTTGACATCTGTGGAAATTTTAACACAGGTTATCCCTCCCTCTGCCTCAATGAGAATGGGTTGTTTTTTTTAGAGAACAGTCTGGCATCATTCTGTTTTGCAAGGATAAAAAGCACAGACCTCCACATCACACACACCAGTTAGTTGTGCTGCAGAACCCTCAAATCGTGCTGCTCTTTGTAAACTGAAACTATTGAAAACGGAGGCCTATGTTACACAAACTTTAATTATTTAGTTGCTTTAATTACCTGATCATCAGGCTGCTTTTTGTGCCTGTATTGTTACCCGCTACCTCAGTCCTGAGAGGTACTGTCTGTGTTATATATTCAAAATTCAATTTACTAGGTGACTTTTGCCACAGTGGCTCTGGCACAGAGAATCTGAAAGTGCCTCAAAGCCTGACCTATAGATCTATATGGGGCCGAGGGCTGCAAGGACACACCCCTGCAGCAGGATTCCCTCTGATCCACAGGGCTGCAGCTCCCAGTGCCACACACTGAGATGGCTCCATCTGATTTAGCACAGCTGAGCATGGAAGCGCACGTTCGCAGAAGGGATGCTTCTCCATCAAACACGTTATTTTTGCAGAATTCAGGCTTGTTTCTTTTTCCATACACAAATGGCTACCTCCCCCCCCTCCTCCTTTTTTTTTTGGAGTGGGGGGGGATGTAATAGCTGAAAAAGGATTTTCCCTTGTTTCTTTGGCATAGCTCACCCTCGAGATTTATATCCTCTGGTCACTCAACAACTGTATTTGTTATTCGACAAATTCCTCCTGTCCCCAATCCTCCTTTAATTCAAAAGGTTGCCAATGAACTATTCAGTTTTAAGCAAAGAAAATATACCCAGAGGTGTGTTTTAAAATAGAACTACTTACTGAAAAGCCAATGCATTAATGGAGGCTTCCTGCCTTTCTAAATATGGAGGCAATTTTATAAGTAATATTTTAAAAAGCCTTGAATAATGATACTATAGACACGAGTCTTTGTGGCTTTTTTACCCCCGGATGAATCCTTCGGAGTCTTGGCTCACAAGACTGCACCCACATTGAGGGCAGGTTTATTAAAACAGGAAAAAACCCTTGTAAGTACTTTTACGACCCTTTGTGTAAATAACGTTTACATAATTTAAACAGTTTGCTTAGCTTTGCTGCCCCATCTGCCCAAGGCCCCCAAGTCCCTCTCCTCTCGGAAAGGATGCAAGGAAAGCCATAAGGTCTCGCAGAGCTGCGGAGTTAATGGCATGTATCATTTACATTGAGGGCATGGCATGTTTGCAAACTGAGCTTACCATTGAGTGATGAAGTGTACAAATGGCTCAGAGAACTCCCCGGCTGGAAGGACGGGCGATTCCTGGGATTGGATTGAAACAAGAAGCAGAGTCAGAAGGAGAGAAGATAATTTTTTTCGCAGAGTAATATAACGGTGACAACAAAACCAAAAAAGAAAGGGAAAATCAACCCCCCAAGGAAGCGACAAAGCCCCCTTTTCACACAGACAATCTGAGGCAGAAAGGTACAAATTCTTCTGAGAATGTGCTATAAAACACTGAATTTCAACTAATGAGTATTACACAATGGGTAAAAACATGTGGAAAGACACTGAGGGGAGGTGAAAAAAGGACAATGATAGCCACAGGGTAAAAAGGAAGGTAGGGAAAGTGTAAATGAGAAATTAATGATTATTTAAGTAACACACAAATGGTCTTGTAATTAACAAAGAGCTGTGAAATTATTCTTGTGTTGACCTTTGTTTCTTTCACTGCATTCGCTATTTATTTACACTCATGTTTATTTACACTTATTCATTTTAGAGGCTGTCCTCATGCGCTGTCTGTGCTAGATTTAAAAGGTGAGAGAATTTTTAAGAGGGAGAAAACCCCCCAAAGCAGGATTTGTCAGTGCAGGGGTAGGAAATAACCCAGGGTATTTATGAAAGAACAACAGAAAAATAGATTAAGAGCACAAGAAACAACAAAATTACGAACAGGGAACAAACAACATCACCATTTGCAAAGAAGGGCTTTACGAATTTAGGAGTTTTTCCAAGAATGACAGAGAGCTCCACTGTGTTTATAGTGTAACAGCTCAGGATGTAATGAAATTACACTGCAGAGTACTTTAACAGTGTCATCTCATTAGACCTACAGTTGGAACAAGAGAGCCACATAAAACAGGCAGCTGCAAATGACTCCATTCTCATCTATTCTCATTTGCTATTAAAAATACCTTTCGGCGTCTTTTTTCCTCCCTGACATCCCTACACAAAGTACCCTGCAAAGTATGATACATGCACCTATTTAAATTAACAAAGGAATGACTTATTTTAATCTCACTGTGCTTTGGAGTGCTTTGGCCATTTGGATGAGCAATATATCATTACATACAACCTTCCAGCGCTGCAGGCAAGAAACTCGGAGCGTGCAGCATTTGGTGGGAGCCAAACAATTTCTCTAGCACACAACTGTGTCAAATGCATGCATGTATTCATTATTGAGAATGCGAGGAAATAGCTTTGATGTAGTGGAAAAAAGAAGATGATAAAAGCACCTCTGCAATGTGTGTGCCATTATCAATGGTGGCAGATAGACACAACTGCAGAGCCTCCTATGTGATTAGTAAATATACATATAATTGCTGTGGCCAATTATCAGAAAAATGAGATCGGTAATTACAAGACAGAAAATTAACTAGAACTCTTATTAAGGCTTTGTTTCCAATTCAAACAATGGGAAACTGCTGGAAAATACAATTAAATCAAAAGTAACTGAAGAGTAAAAGGAGAAGCCAAAACTGCTTCACAATTTTCAAAGACTGCTATTAAATACAAGGAGCGTTTGATAGAACATGCCCAAAGCCTCTTTGAACTTAAGACCTGGTGAGAGGGAGGTTATTGCTTCTCAACTTATAAATGACATCAATATAGGAAGGTTTGCACCGGAGAGTGGAAGGAACACAAGGAAACAAGCATTGCAATTAAACTTTCCCCACTTCAAAGAACTGTGTATGGAAATTATTCACGTTAACAGAGAAAAAGCAGAGCAAAACGTCAGGCTTGCTCATCCAGCGTGGAGCCAGGCAGGTTTTACCTCTCCCCAACGTTCTCCCTAGACCAGCAGAGCTGGGCTTGCACCTGAAGTGGTAAAAGCCACTTTTCCAGGTGGGATGGACTCCAAGAGAGCAGGTAGGAAATACTCTGGGCACGTATTACACATCGCGTTGTGAAGCCATCAGAGCTCATTCCCTGGGGAACTGGCTCTGCCCAGCAGTCCACCCCTGCTGTTTATTTTAAGTACAATGCAAGAGAGGAGCTCATCAGAGGCATCCTCCGTCGGGGCTGCCAGCTCTGCTCAGTCCATGCTGGGGAGCAGGACAGGCAGCCGGCGCTTCACACTCATTTGGGAGGTGATAATTTCTGCAATCACAAAGAGATGACGAACCCATAATGGAGTGAAACTTCATTATGAAAGGGGAGGAGAAGCTGATGAACTGCTCTAAAGCCATCAGCTTGGCTCTCCCAGGCTAAGCTGGCGTCCGGGTTCATGCAGCCAAGGGAAGAACTTGCTCCAACATTAGGATTAATGCCTTGACCACACAGCTCCCATACTGAAGCACAGCCAGGATATGATGTGCTCTTCCATAAGCATGCAAGAAAAAAAAAACACCTCGATGAAAGTGAATGTTAAATAACATGAGATTTTCTTGGGGGGCCCATATTCTTCTGTACAATGCAGGTATTTCAACCCCAACCAGGCCTACTCTCCTCTGTTGTAGACCTGTCAGCCATGGCCATGCCTTAGTTGGCTTGCTCTCAGGAACTGCAGAAGGGATTGTGTGTGTAGTTGTGAATGGAAATGAACACAAACTGGATCCCAATATGAAAACTAAATGCTTTAATAGAGTCTCCCAAGGATTTTAGACCGGGTACTCACAAATTTATCAGCTATTTGCTTGACAAACTGTAAACCTTTTGGAAGAGGGCATCCATCTCAAGGAATACTTGCTGACAAGTGTGTTTGAGCATATAAAAAACTTAAATCTCACTCTTGTAAATATGAGCCAGTTGTTACTTTACAGCACAGGAAAGACAGCAGAGAAAGAGGCAGGTTTGGAGTTTAGGTGAACCAGGACAGTAAGGACCCTCAACTGCTTCCAGAGGCGAATACTGAAAAGCTGCATTTTACCTTAGTTAGAAAGAGAAAACATGCATTTGGCTGTTTATGGATGTCCAGGGAAACTGATGATCAAAACATTTCTGTTTCTGATACTGCCCTATGCATGACCATGTGAGTAGTAGAAAGGTGAGAGTATTTTGTAGTTAAGAGCTATTTCTAATGAGACAAAATGCTGCTACTGCCACCTATATAATTTGAGCAATCACAAAGTTGTATCAGACATAAAGCAAAGAGTTCCAGAACAACACAAAGTAAATACACCCTACTTTGTGTCCTTAAATTCCCTGGACTTCATCTGACACTCAAAGAGATGAAAATAGGAGGAAATAAATACACGTTTCTGCCAAGTGTACACCATTTGTGTGATGCAATCCAGTCCCATTTGATGTAACTGTAGGGAATGGTCCACGCACACCTGGATGGCCTGCCCGATTTTACCCACCTGCACAATGAAATCACCCTACAGGACAAATAAAGAAGAAGCCAAAGATTCTGCAGGAGTAAGGAACAGGTATATTCATTTAAAACCTGGGAAATGGTTCTTTCATTTTTGTTCAATGCCCTATCTTTTAACCAATATCATGAAGCCCTATATACTGAGATGCTGCTAAAATGGCAGTAAAGACACAAATGGTTTTAAAAGTCAGTGTACTGTTGGCCTCTTACATCCCCAGCGTATTCCCAAGACAAGATGTTTCCCTGAGCATCCAAGCAATGTTTCCACCACAGGGATCTGCTGCAGAAGAAGACCAGATCAGGCTCTGATTTCTCAAAACCAGCTGAACTGTGCACACACAGTGAGAACGGGGAAGGGCAATAGGAAAAAAAGTTTGAGTGATGCCTTTGCCTTGTGAATAATGAACAGTTCAAGAAGGTCAACCCATTACAACTGAAAGCGTTTAATTATTAATTATGCACAATCTATGAGCAAAAGGACAAGTTCAGAATGTTTAATGTGTGGTAACTCCAACTGGACCCTCTCTTGGCATTTTGTTATTAGCACTTGTCAGCAAGGTGCTCAGGCATAAAGAAAAAAGCACAGCAGCACAAAATCCGAGCTAGCAGGAGGAGGCAAGGCTTTAAACTTCAAACACTGCTCCTGATATTTAATTTATAGAGTGCCAAGGCTCTGGTATAAAGCTTATTGACTTCCACGGAGTTAGGGGAAGTCACATTATCTAAATGAAGACCTGAGAATGAGAATACTGAGACAATCCCTCCAAAAGCCCTCTCTTTTGAAGGGGGTGATAACATTATTATCTGATTCTTTTTTTTTTGTCATAGATCTGATCAAAGGACAACTGAACCATCTAATAGCGTGTCCAGAAGTCAACCAGTCCTTTACAACCTATGTAATAAGAGCCTGAATTACAGGTCCAAGCATTCTTCTCACCTGCTTCTCGAACCTGTTATTCAAAATGTCTCCTGATTTGTTTGCTTTCACTAAGCACAGTAGTAGCAGAGATGCTACAGAAGCTCAGGAAATAAATGATGTGAGCAAGCCCACAAATAAATATGGATAAGGGGGCTTTCCCCTCTTTTCTGTGCAGCTCTGAGGTTTATCTCGACAAACTCAAGAAGTAAACTCAATGGATAGAGCTCTGAGTTACTTATTTTCTTGGGAAACACTCTTCTATCAATGAAATATGGGAGTAGTTCTTGACAGGTAGCATACACCGAAAGCATCCCCTGCTTGACACGCACCGTCAGAGGTCTTACCCCAACAGACTATTTCTTGAGTGTGAAATATTTTCTCAAAGCAACTGATAGATTTTTATCATCACATCCTTTCTGGACAGAGAGAAAGCCACCATCTCCCTACAACAGGAAAATCAGCAAACACAGCTTTCTACATAAAACCTTCAAGAAGGAGATGGCAAAGCCCCCAGCTATGTGTTAAGTTCACACCCGTGTTCCTCCTACAGAGGCTGGTATTTCCAGTGGATCACCCACTCGGTACCAATAGGTTTTAGTCCCTCTCCTCATCTGCAGACTCCCTCTCTGGGAAGGGTTAAATTTCCCCATTCCCCACAGCTACTGCTATTTTGCAATACTTGCTCCTCAGTGAAACGCCTGTGCAGAAGGAAATGCCATGGTCCTATGGCTCTATGGCCACAAGAGGGAAGTTAGCAGAACCCAGCAAACCAAACTTCAGTTCCTCTCTCCTCTGGGTTTCCCC